AGAGAGAGAGAGAGAGAGAGAGAGAGAGAGAGAGAGAGAATGCCATTCTATCAGTCCACAGTGCACAATAATCACGCGCATGTTTATGAGTGGACATGCTGGTAAATCCGTTACATCGCGTGAGCACCCATGAGTGTATATTCCACAAATTTATATAATACATGTCACTTTTTGTGACATCCTAGACCACACATTCTGAGGTAATTCCGTACCATTATGTCATGCCACATTGGGCTCAGTTTGGACCCAGATGAAGGGGACGGGGAGAAGAAAAGGGCTGGGCACATTCGGTTACAGGCAACACGAGAGTTGCTCCTGTCCTCACACGGGACAGCGCGCGTGGCAGCCAAGTTGAGAGAAATAGGCGGGCTTATAAAGACTCAGCTTATTGTCGTTGTCGTCACAGTTTTACAGCTCGTGCAACACAAACATGTGTCATGATTCTATACGTGCCAAAACTCAGCGATGTTATTGAGGGAGTAACATACAAAGACAAGAAGGAGGAGAGAGAGAAGGACGTAGACATGGGGCAAACCACCTAGAAATACAATAATTGTTGCATTGGAAAGGGAAAGAACAGGAAAGAGAAGGAAAGAGAAGGAAAGAGAAGGAAAGAGAAGGAAAGAGAAGGAAAGAGAAGGAAAGAGAAGGAAAGAGAAGGAAAGAACAGAACAGAAAAAAGAAAGTAAGAGAACGAAAAAAAAAAAAAGAAGAAAAATGAAGAGAAAAGTAAAAAAGAAGGTAAAGAAAAATAAACGAAAAGAAAAGACACCAACAAAAAAGGGACAACCGAAATAGAAAGTTATGTTAAAAAACCCAAGAGTAACCGAAATAGAAAGTTATGTTAAAAACCCAAGAGCAGCAGAAATAGAAAGTTAAGTAAAAAAAAGTCTACATAAATAGAAAATTAAGTTAAAAAAGTCAGCCGTAGTTGAAAATGAGAAGTCACCAGGTGCGTGTGCGCCTTGTCGGAGATGTACTTGTCTGGGAAGTAGGTGGACACTAGGATCAGCTTGTTGTGGTTCTCCACCAGCGTCTGGATGATGCAGTCCAGGTGGTCGGCGGTGGAGCGGAACAGGGGGAGCTCCAGGCGGGTTCTACTCACGTTGATTTTCTGGGGAGAGGAGCAGAGATGTATTATCATCATCATTATGGTCATCACCATCATCATTATCCTCATCATCATCATCGTTATCATCATCATTAAATGTGCTGGGGTGCACGCAGAAGATCCGAGTTGAGTTCCCACAAAGACAGTAGTATCATCAAGTATCTCTGTCTTTCTCCGGATCCAGACACATTGTATCCCTCCCACCCCAGGCACGCCCACACAGACATATTGTATCCCTCCCACCCCGGGCACGCCCACACAGACATATTGTATCCCTCCCACCCCGGGCACGCCCACACAGACATATTGTATCCCTCCCATCCCGGGCACGCCCACACAGACATATTGTATCCCTCCCACCCTGGGCACGCCCACACAGACATATTGTATCCCTCCCACCCTGGGCACGCCCACACAGACAGGGTCGTTGTCCGCCTCCTAGATGACCTAACTAGTGTCGCTAGAGGCGTAAACAACACACGTGACAAAAGAATGTACAGTGGCGCCGGTGGCCGAGTGGTTAGGCTTTCGGACTCGCATTCCGTCAGGGGCCCGACGTTGTGTCCTTGGGAAAGGCACTTTAGGTGAGTTTTCCTCTTTTCATCCAGGTGAGAATGGGTAACCAACTATTGACAGCGAAAGATCTTGTCAGTGTGTTAGTGTTTGGTAGTGTTTGAGCGCTTACATGGCTGCTTGCACTGTATGCTTCCCGGGAAGCAGAGGATATTTCTGAATGTTCTATGGTCTGCTGGGGTCATAATAATGTGTAACGAGTATTGTAGCGTTTGCTAGGGCTAATCATATAGTGTAAAGTGCAGAGAGCTTGCTGTCGAGCGGGGGTATGCGCCATACAAATGCTATTTATTTATTACTAGCTGGGTACCCCGTTCTATGAACGGACTCAAAAGAATCGATCGTCAGGTCATTTGGAACAAGTGCACACTGCTTGTGAACGGAAGCCTCCCTTGTTTACAATGGCGTCTTAGAAGACGGACTTTCCCAAGATTAGATTTAACCGAAACTAATGAAAAGCTGAAAATTAAACTGCAATGACTTCAAACTCCCTAACATAGCTGCGCACCCTTTAAATGATTCTGAGCCACGGTTAATTTTTTTCAAATTCGAAAGTTTTAGGAGACCAAAGTGACCAACTCTCACAAATAGAATATACAGAAGAC